GAAAGGAATTATTCTCTTGTTCAAATTTAATTTTAATTTAAATCAAAGGGAAAAACATTTCAGCAGTGGGTTTATGCAAAAACACTTTGAACTGTCCCCTTTCATATGTATTTGATTCAATACTTGATTGAATGAATTGATGGGCAGATTTCAACATTGACATGGCAGTTGAATTGTCGTAACAAATATGTATCGTAAGGCATTACCCACTGATTGGCGATTTCTTGCTCAACTTAACATCCATATTGTCTCATTTTGATCTTGTCGATGTGACCTCCATCTTCTGGCTTTCTCTTTCTATATTTTTGATAGGAGTCATTCCCTTGTTCAAATTTAAATTTAATTTAAATCAAAAGGAAAAAAAATCAGTGGCGGGGTGCTTCCCCCGGGGACTCCCTTTGATCAAAATGAAATATTCTTATCCAAGTACCCTGGGTAATGTAGTTTAAGAATATATATGGTTATGGGGCTCTATCGCAAAAAAGATGAAAGAGTTCGATAACAGGCAGACAGAGGTTACAACTTCATTCACAGTAGGGGAAAACAAAAATTAGTACACAAACAAATTTTTAATTTATTGTGCTTACAACTAACGAATAAACATAATTTTCATATACAGTGTAACCCGGATATAAGAGAGTTGTCGGGACCGGAAAAGAAGTCTCTTATATCCGGGTTTCTCTTATATCCGGGTTTGGTATATTTTGTTTAGGTAAGTATGGGCTCTAATTTGGGACCAGAGAAAATCTCTGTTATATCCGGGTTTCTCTTATATCCGGGTCTTTTATATCCGGGTTACACTGTAATTAACTGTACACAGATACATAATAACTAAATATGAATAGAAAACAGAAAAAATTGATTTAATAGAAAGAAATCCCATTTATCTATTTTAATGGATGAAAAAGTATTCGTACAAAACAAAAAAGAGGATATCGTCATTTAATACTTTGTAGAATAACCATTATTCCCTTCTACTGCAGCCAACCTTTTCCTGTAGTTCTCAATTAATGATTTGCAAATTTTAGTTGGTACTACCCGTGATCCGTTGGGTCACCGACGCTTCAGTTTATAAAACACTAAAGTTGATTTCAACATTTAAAAAATTGTGTGTTTGAAGAAAGTTGAAATAAAAATACTTACTTACTGTATAAAACAACTTATCTTATTCACTTAAATATTTTAAAATCAGACTAAATAAAAATATTTTTAACATGCCGAAAGATATTTTAAAATCATATTCACTTGAATATATTTTTTAAATATGCCAAAAAATATTTTCTTAAATATTGTTTTTAAAGAAAGCTTAAATATAAATAAGCATGAACGCAATCCCAGAGAGGTGGAAAGAGGGAGAGGTGGAAAGAGGGAGAGGTGGAAAGAGGGAGAGGTGGAAAGAGGGAGAGGTAGAAAAGAGGGAGAGGTGGAAAGAGGGAGAGGTAGAAAAGAGGGAGAGGTTGAAAGAGGGAGAGGTGGAAAGAGGGAGAGGTAGAAAGAGGGAGAGATGGAAGAGGTAGAAAGAGGGAGAGGTAGAAAGAGGGAGAGGTGGAAAGACAGAGGTGAAACGACAGAGCGTTATTTTTCTTTTGGTCTCACTGCCAATTCATTTCCTTCTCTCCTCCCACTTCCAACGTGATAATAAATTCACATTTCTTTCTTTCTTTCGCCCACTCTCTATATATGACTTCTTGTGTGCGGTGGCAAACAAGCAAAGTTCACAGAGTTTTATAATAATAAAGATACAATGTAGCTTAGTCACTGTTTCCCTTTATTTCTCAAGAGTGATCAAGGATTGCAAAAGCTTTCCGAAATATATCTGTTTTAACAATAAAATGAAATTACAAGTTTTTATTCTTTTTAATTCAACTTCACCAATGGAATCAAGCGTTTTTACAATTAAAGACAAAAATTGTCTAGTTTCCGCGACCACTGTCACGCTGCTGTCAGTTGAAATTATAAATGATAAATGGCAATGAAAAATTAATGAAATTATAACTAAAATTATATAAAATATTTCTCTTAAAACAATTTTTCAGGAAAACAGGTTTCTCAAGTCCAGTAGTTCTTATCGCCCTTTCCAGTATTGGTGGGACGGAAGAGGGGCTTTCTAACCTTTTATTTGAAGTGGTGTGGAACATCTTTATTATGGCATTATTTTCTCTTTGAGTTACACGTGCTATCCATTTTAATAGTCACTGCTTTTTGGTAGTCCTCAAGTGATGTGGTTTTTGTTATTTGGTACAGTTCTTTGCGATTCTGTAGCGCCAGTTTACCGTGTTCAAAGAAGGGTGACTTTTGCCAAGGCCTTCAGGCTTCACTCGCTCAAACCCTTTTTTCACTATTGATCTTAGGAAGCGATTGTAGAGCACTGTGCAATTGTACTCTCTTATCGCAATGAGGAAAAGTGCTGCTGCAGTGTTGGAAATACCACCACTGAGCACTTTCTCCCATATAAAATGAGGAGCGTACAGATCTTGATCGTATTTAATCCCGCCCAACGCTGGCAGGATGTGACATAAGGTCAGTTTAATGTGGGGTGTCCGAGTGCATGCACCCGAGCCAGCCCCACCCCCGACAAAAAAAATTATACAGAACACATTTGCTTATTTATGTTGATTTTCTGTTACATTTTCATTGTAAAAAAATTACCAGCAATACATTTTTGTAAAAACAAGTTTGTTTGTTTTTTGTTTTTTTTTTTTAATATTAGCAGCAATGCATTTTTGTAAAAAAAAATATTACCAGGAATACATTTTTATTTTTTTTGAAATTACCAACAATACATTTTTGTAAAAGAAGTTACTAATGCTTCCAAGAAAATTTAATTTCAGCATTAAAGGACCCATAAGGATGTTGATATGTCGTAAAACAAACCAAATACCGTTACCTTGTGACTTCATCCCGTGCTTTGTTAGTGCTTAGAAAATCAAGTACTTTTAGATTACTGTTTACATCTTCAATTCTATGAGGCAAGTGAACCATTTTTAACAAAACGGCATAAAAAAAGTCAACATGATTCTCTCAATATAGCTGAAATAAAAATATTCAGCATAAAATACATATAATGATACTATTGTAACAACAATACGTATATATAAGACTATAAGAATATAAGAAAACTATTTTATTCCCCTCAATCGGTAAATGTAAAAGTATCTGCTTTAGTGTGCCTTTATGACAATATACAGGTTAAACTTGTGAGATTGAAAAAAAAAGAAACTTCTTAAGAGCTAATATATAAGATTTGCGATGGGGCACCTCAAGGCGGTGTAATGATTAGCAAGCTTGTCTCGCTAGAACAAGTACGACTGAGTAGTGAGTTAGATACTCACTGGGTGCTTCATACTTTCGGCCTTGTGCCATATCTAAGCTTACATAATCACTATAAGATGTGCGATGTGGTGTAATAGATAAGAGCTCGGAATGTGAAACTGGAGTTCGAATTCATTACTATCACATACGCACAAATACCCTTGGGAAAGGCATGTATCCATCTCTGCGCCTCTCAGAGTTGAATAGCAGGACAGACTGGGTCCTATAGCAGTCTATCGCAGAAAGAAATGGCAACCTACTGCGAGAAAATCTTCTGCCTCGTCAGTCATGAATCGAAAGAGATGTGATCGCCTAATCGTATGGCACTTAAATGAGTTCGGTAGCCGTCACTTGACCGGTTTCTACATTTCATGTAATCATTGTTACTTGAACACTTTGTGTACTCATCGAGTTTTCACAGCTTTCAACATACCAGCACCCTCCTCAGTATTCTTGATAATTTTAGTAATGTGCCGTATGAATGATTTTGTTTTTTTTATTTTTGTTTTTTTTTTTACCACGGGTATCCAATTCTTTGAAATTTTTTGGCGAGCTTTAGGGAAAGTGTTCTTAGCGCGAAAATAACAATAATAGGCGCACCTGTCAAATTCGTGTTGTATTTTTTCGTTCAATTCTCTAAGAAGATCGAGATATTTTTCCAGCTTTTAACCTTCTGTCAATTTCTGGAAACTGCTGGAAAAAAAAAACATGTCTATTATGCGACGAGTGTTCTTTTCATGTAGTTACGCCGATTCGATCTGATTCTGGATTGGGTACAATAACAAAAATTCTAAAATCAGCATACTTCATCATGTGCTCCAAGAAATGGGACACAAGATAAACCTTCCCATGATCTGGAATTGGAATGAAAACAGTAATGGCACCTGCCCTGAATCCATCATAAAATTTCAAGACATGTAATTAGTAAATACTAAACACTTCAGATAGCTTGGCGTATGGATCAGTTATAACAAATTAAGTATAGGAGGAAAACAAATTGAACATAGAATAGGCTGTAACAGAGGTCGTTTCGCCCAACATCGCAAATTACTATGAAACCAAAACATCAACCTGAAAACTCCACTCATGTTCTTAGCCTTGTCAGATTGAGACTTTTATATGGATGTCATGCATGGGGCCAGACCGGTTCAGAAATATATAAACTGACAGTTATATACGATTGCTTCCTAAGATCAATGGTGAAAAAAGGTTTTGAGCGCGTGAGACATGAGGGCCCTGGCAAAGGTCATCCTTCTTTGAACATTGTGGATTGGCGCTACAGAATCACAAAGAACTGTACCAAATAACAGAAACCACATCACTTGAGGGCTACCAACAGCAGCAACAACTAACATGGATAGCACGTGTAACTAGAAGAGAAAATAATTGCATAATAAAGATAATAAAGGGTTAGAAAGAACCCCACAATGTATACTGGAAAGAGCGGTGTGAACTACTGGACTTGAGAAACCTGTCTTCCTAAAAAATTGTTTTAAGAGAAATATTTTATATAATTTTAGTTATAATTTCCTTCATTTTTCATTTTCATTTATCATTTATAATTTCAACTGAAAGCAGCCGTTCAGTCAATAAATGGCAAATGTTTCCTTATAGGGAAACAGCGAATATTACCATTACCAAAAGATTTTAAGGTTTACTCATGATTATTATTATTATTATTATTGTAGGAAGGAATCGTTCTCATCGACACACCGGGTATTGGTGAAAACACGGAAATGCTGAGTTTTCTTGCGTCTTACATGTCGCAAGCCTTTGGGTTTCTTTACGTAATAAATGCCGCAAGTGCTGGTGGTGTAGGGTAAAAAACTTCATATTTATTTATTGTCTTATATACACACGCATATACACACACACTTATTTTCTGATATATATATATATATATATTTATATTATATATATATATATATATATATAATATATATATATATATATATATATATATATATATACTGACATATATATATCTATATATATATATATATATATATATATATATATATATATATATATATATATATATATGGGGAACGCATTTTATTTACAAAGATTTCTTGAATGCGGGGCAGATAGACGTAATAGTCATTGTTTAATAAATAAAACTGAGGCGTTTATTTCAAATACGAAGTATCTCCTATAATAACATTTGAAGTAATAAAAACGTCGGATTGACAACAAATCCCTTAATTCTTTAGAAATTGCTTTGTTTACGTTTCGCATGTGTTGTAACCTAGGGAAGGTTACTGAATAGAATAATCACACGAAGGATGGTAATGAACGATAATACTTAAGTCAAGAACAACACATATAAGATCCGCCAGCGGCGCGTAGAAGAAGTAGTCAATGACCAGAAGTGTATTCCACAATGAATTTCTAACTGCAGGATATCTACCAACCGCCCCACGCGGTCAGATGTGGCGCAACGCCGCATTTAGTGTGAGGCATCCGAGCTCGTAGGCTCGGCCAAAAATTCCCCAGAGACCTCGTAATTAAACGGGGTCGGGTAGTTGTTTCCCGAGACGAGACTCTGCCCTTCGACAAAGCCGCGTCTGGGGATCCTCTCTGTCCGGAGGCAGAGAGTTTGACCAGCACAGCTGGAGACGAACATACAGTCTTTACTACTGTATTTATGTGAATGGGGACATATCCATTATCGTCCGTGGGTATGCTACAACAGTATGCAAAATTAAGCTGATATGAAGCTTTTGAGAAAATAATCTGTGTGGAAACGATGTCCTTTGTTTAAAAAGGGGAAAATAGATCCTTGTGACGTACTTTGTGGCCGAGCGATAAAGTACACTGGAGCAAACGGTAGTTTCACCTTACAAAGTGGTGCGCAGGTTCAATCCCTGCTGAGAAACGCATTTTCTTTACGAAGTATGTGAAATATATGAAGTATCCACTATAATAACATTTGAAATATGATTTTACATACGGACGCTCGAATGGTAATGGACTCAAGGCTGCACAACTGTATCAGATTACGTTTTCAGGCTGAAGGCAACCAAGTCATCCAACATTTGCTGTTGTTTATCATCGTATTACTGAGGATTCATGGCATCACAAACTATGGTAAGAAATATTTTTGCATTATATCTTGGATTGTACATTTAACAGGATCTACCGTAAACTTTAAACTTAATAACTCATAAACGAAGGATTCTGCAGACTTATATTAAACTCGGAATACAGATTTATAAAAGTTAAGTGACACACACACACACACACACAGAGCGGTTGACCATAAATTAGTGTTGAAAAATAAAATTTTAACATCTTTTTTGCAGTGAAATGCATAATGATTTGGAAATTCTTGCAAAAATAAAATAATTGTCAGATTTTAATTAAACTTTCAGGACTTATTCACTTATTTTAGAAAATATATATATTTTGTTTTGTTTTGTTTTTACATACTTATTTAATTTTATGAAATTTCGAGGAATTCGTTATACGCAGAACTTCTTGGAGAATTCCAATCATCAATTTTATTTTGTAAAACAGGACCACAGTTACCGAAAATCTGGTCTGAATCGTAAAATAAAAATTCAATAAAACTAAGATATTATTTAATTAGATAAGTTTTCAATTGCTTTTATGAATAACATATATTATGGACATTTCTGCTGTCAGTAGAGCTTTCAGGCTGTCAAACCTCATAAAAACACCCACCACCATGTTAAAAAAACGCTTTTCTTTAATATTTTAAACTAAAAGTAAATATTTATTTCAAAGATATTATTTAATTAGATAAGCTTTCAATTGCTTTTATGAATAACATATATTATGGACACAAGAAAAATATTTTTCGATCAATTATTGTTTTCATTTTATTTCATTTTGATTATAACATTTTATTAAGTTTTAGATCTTTTAAAATTCTGTATTAATTTGTACCGGTTAGGTGGTATTGTAATTAAAAACTATATTTACTAATCAGAAATGGAAAAACTTACTACAATTAAAGCGACCACGAGTATTTTAAAAAGAATTTTGAATTTTTTTGTGCGTGTATAAATGTACCGATTTTTGTAAATACGGGCGTCCATACACAACATTATCAGAAAAAAAAGAGCGGTAACTATAGTAAATTTAAATTTAAGCCAAATTACCTAAAATTCAATAAACATTAGATTACTGAGAATATTTTCCTAATTTTTAAGATTACTTGGTAATTAAAAAAATTATATAAAAAATGTGCTCACATTATATTTATCAAGTATTTTTTACACAGATGTCTCTGTAGAAAAATTTGTTTATATTTCTGCTGTCAGTAGAGCTTTCAGGCTGTCAAACCTCATAAAAACACCCACTACCATGTTAAAAAGACGCTTTTCTTTAATATTTTAAACTAAAAGTAAATATTTATTTCAAAGATTAATTAAATTTTAAATCAGCTAATTTTCCGCAAATAAAGTTTCAAAAAGTATATTTTATTTTTGAGAGTTTTTTTGATAAAGAGAATTACATTGTGCTGAGTGAATTTTAAATATGTCGAAAATCAACCATTTTTAGCAATTTAAATAAAACTCATTCCATTCAATTTGAATTCATTTTGAAATTGAAAATATTAAATTTAATCTATTAGATTGAAATTAAAAATAAGATAAAAACTTCAAGATTTTTTTCTTGTAGAGGTACAAATATCATGAACATATATATATATATATATAGGTGTGTGTGTGTGTGCGTGTGTGTGTTTCATTAAAGACGACAGACAAAGTACTACGATTAAGCTTTTTGTTTAACTTTTCTTGTGTTCGAACAAGTGTTTTCTTTTTTGGACACAGACTGTATAGAAACTGTCCAAATGTTCTATAATTCCGAGCGCTTTCGCCTATACTTTAGCCATTATCAAGGATGATTTTTTTTTTAATTTAATTGGGTTTGTGCGTTGTGTGTATGTTTTTAATGTTATAGAGAAGTTTTATTTTCTGAAAACAGCACATTGTGTCCGTATTCACAGTTAATATTAAGTGTTGGCTTTTTTTATTATTAAGGATTCTATTATTTTTTTTATCTTTTTTACATGTGTATGAGGTTATTATGTTTGTGTTTTCTAGTAGTATGTTTTGGATGGAGTCTGGTAAGTTTGTATGTGTGTTTAAATGGATTCTAACATAGTTGTGGTCAGATAGGTGTGATGCAAAATGCCCCTTCAAATGCCCCTTAAGGAAGTGTGGTCCTGTTCAAACCGAATTCATAAATAATTACATTGGTCACACGACTAGATGCCTATCCAGACTATCGTCGTTAATGAAACATGCATAAATGAAGGATTGCTGCCTAAATACACAATTATATATATATATATATATATATATATATATATATATATATATAAATTTGAATAAATTTATTGTTTAGATTTTTGTGTAATTTTGGTAAATATATCTGTTAAAGTGAGATGTTAGTTTTATTTTCATTTTGCATAAACGAGAATTTATCAACGTATTGTGTGTGTATATATATATATATATATATGCACACACAGTACAAGTTGATAAATACGTGTGTGTATATATATATATATATATATATATATATATATATATATATATATATATATATATATATATATATATGCACACAGTACGTTGGATAAATTCTCGTTTAAGTTACGCAAAATGAAAATAAAACTAGCATCTCACTTTAACAGATATATTTACCAAAATTACACAAAAATATCTAAACAATAAATTTATTCAATAAAATTGCCATTGCCTTCCAGACAACTTTGAAATCTCCTGTAACTCTTCTGGATAGTCTCTTTGTTTAAGTTGGTGAATGCTGCCATAATCCTTGTTGGTGTTACAAAGAGTTTTGTTGATCTCTCGCTCACCTGCGCCCCACACATAATAATCAAGGGGAGTGCAGTTAGGTGACCAGATGTAAGGGATGATATGGTCGCAGAAATTGTCTAACAGACATGATTGGGTTCTTCTGCTTGTGTGGCATCATGCAGTGTCCCGATGCAATACATAGGGTCTTCCAGCAGCCACCTTCTTGACCCAGTGCAGCACTACCTTTTCAAGGCACTTGATGTAGGACTCCATGTTGAGTCTGAAGCCTTCAACAAATTCAGATTTTTATTATCAGAACGATTAGCATGAGTTTACTAAGTTGCCGTATATTTGTAATCACCATTAAACTCACCCAACTTTTATTCCTCTTCTCTGTCCATCGCTACACGGGAATTACCATGTTTCAAAGCAGAAAGTAAAATTTTAAATTTAATTATAAATTAAGTTTAAAATCCATAGCTCCGTTCCATTCTCAAACGATTTTTGGAATAACCTATTAAGAAATATGCTGTAATATTATATAATATAAAAAATACCAATAAGGTCAGATGACTTTGCAGAGTCCAATGGTCCCATTGTGATGTCGAAGTGGTCATTAGAATTTTTAATCCATTGCTCACTCTGATGTATGAGTACCGATTTTTTCGCAGAGTATTGGGTAGCAAAATCCATAACATTCGGGCAGACTACAAGAATTATCAACCCAACACGACCTGAAATCGGCAGAATTAGTGAGAAAATCCTGGAAAGTGTCAACCAACAAATAAAGCATTACCTTGCATTAACACTTTGGATCAATACCAAAGAAGTTACTAATTGGTTTACTAATATTAACGAGAAACCAAATTGTACACTTGTACATTTTGATATTGATAATTACTATCAATCGATATCAAAGGAACTTTTCACGAATGATATGGATTTTTCTACCCAGTAGTCTGACATAACAGAAGTAGAGAAAAACATTAATATAAATGCGAAAAAATCGGTACTCA